TTCGGTGTCAGAGGCCAGAAACCCCAAGCTGGCAGCTCTGCTTTTAATGAATTACACCGGAACATTCTGCTTGGTTTCGGTGGAATGGTCTGCTGTCTGCATCCTCATCCATGAGCCCCTTTCTTCTTCTTCTTTTTAAATTATTATCAGTTCTTGGCTACTGAAGCACTCCAGTTGTCTGTTTTCAGAGAGGGGCTTTTAGAAAGTGGTTCCTAGTCGATACAGATTTGCTTCTCTGTGCTGGTGACGGGGACCCTGTGTCAGACCACCATGACTTGTGGTAATCTGAAAATCTGTGTTTGGATCCCTTGGAGGGAGGAGGGCTGGGGAGACGAATCTGACAAAGCTCTCGGAGTGTACACATTAGAAACTGGAATGTTCGTGGTAATAACCCGGCCTCATGGAATTTGCAGGACGAATTTTCTCACAGGAGTTGGGATTTTTAGGAGCTGGAGGGAGGATTAGTGTTTTCCCTCTGGGCCATCATTCTTACCGTCTGGTCTGTGCAAGGTTGTTCAGGCCACAGGCTGCTGTGTGTTTGACCCACAGCTGGAGTTGCCTGAGTTTGAAAGAAGGCCAGCCTTTGTGAGGGCCCTGTGGGTATATGCCTAACACCCTGCGTCTGCAAATTAGAAAAGGATGACTCATCTCCCCTGGGTGGGTGACTTTGAGACAGGCCCTGCTTCTTTTAAGCTGATGGAGCTCCTCCCTAGCACGGGACCTGACGGTCTTGTCAAACTGGCACGGGGTGCATTTCAGCCCCCACCTGCCCCGTTGGCCAGGCCTCTTTGTGCAAGGTTTGACTTGAACACCTGTGCGCTGATGCCAAGACTGAAGGAAGACTGGGTTTGGAGGCAGAAGGCTGTCATTGAGGTCTCGTTTCCCCTTTAATAATCGTTGTGTCCTACGGTGTTACGAGGTCTGGTGTGAACAGGGGTCGGCCGACATGTTCAGATAGTAACTATTGAGGCTTCGCAGACCACATGGTCTCTGTTAAAACTGCTAAACTCTGTCCTTATAGCAGCCACGGACATTTATATGAGTGGGAATCACCGTGTCCCAGTACAACTGTATCTCCCAGTGGCCACCCATGGGCCTTCGTTCGCTGACCGGATATAAAACATCTGGTTCAGGGGTCCGTGTGTGACGGGCCTGTGGGAAATGGAAGGTGATGTTATTGTTTTCACTATTGTTACTTATACTAATACTACTGATACCATTTCTTGAGTTTTGCTCTGTGCCAGGTACTGTTCTAAGTACTTAACATGCTTTATCTCATTCAATCTCAGCACCACCAAGTACCCGTGTCCAAGGTCCCATGGCTACTGAGTGGCAGAGCTGGACTCGTACCCATTCACTACCTAGCTCTGTGTTGCCTTACACATCAGCCACCCTGTTCTGCCACCCCTTCTCTCTCTGACATCCTGTTTTTTTCCTTTGTTTCAGCTCTCATTGTTTACCCTATATAATAAAAGGGTAATATGCAAATTGACCGAACGGTGGAACCACCGGTGGCTATGATGCGCACTGATCACCAGGGGGCAGACGCTTAATGCCAGAAGCCGGGCTGATGGCTGGCTAGCACAGCCGTGGTGGCAGGAGCGTCTCCCACTTCTGCTGCAGTGCTAAGGATGTCCAACTGCCGGACGTCCTCCCAGGGCTCCTGGACTGCGAAAGGGCGCGGGCCAGGCTGAGGGATCCATGAATGTCGTGCACCGGGCCTCTAGTAGTTACATATTTACTTAGGTCTTGGTTTGCTTCCTGCCCATTTTCCCCTCAGTTGGGACTTTTTATGTGGTGCTCTCTCTTTCCTAGTTCTGTCCGCTCCCCTTAGCTGCCTCCTGGCATATAGGCAGGTCCTCCCTAAATATTTGCTCAAGAAATAAATGAGTCATTGCCAGCTCTGCCCCATCCCTTCTCTGCCCAGCACTGCTTAACTTTTCACAATGGGTAGGAATTGGGCCACACTTGAGGTGCCTTGGTGATTCCCTAATCCACCCACTTCCGGAAAAAAAACAGCCTGCAGAGCAAATACCACCACCTCCTCCACGAATAATATTGCTGCCTTAGGTTGGAAGAATTTAGCTTATAACAGAGTCCCATGAACCTCATTTGACTTGTTCCTCTTTGTAGTCCTGTGAGGTGGGCTGAGCAATAGGACAAACTGCTCCCATTTCCCAGATGCAAAAACGGAGGCTTTGAGGTGAAAGGACTTGCCCTAGGTCATTCAGCTAGAAAATGGCAGGTCTGGGATTTGAACCTAGGTCTGTCTGGCTCCACAGTGTGAACTTACTCTGCTTCAGGTTGGTCTGGGATGTAGGTCCGTGGCCAGCTGCATCTGACTGATTTTATTAAAAATACACTGGTGCCAGGATCCCACTCTTGGTCTGGGTTGGGACCCTGGGCTGCTGGGTGAATCGGTGGCTGCCAGGGCTGGGAACTTCTCCAGGCCTTGTGGCCCCAGAGTGGAGTCTGGTGGTTCTCAGCCCAGGGTGTGTGTTTGAATCACTGGGGAAGTTTGTCTTGATGGAAATTTTCATGTGTACAAAAGTGGATAGCATAGTAAAATGAACTGCCCCAGACTCTACCCTGCATCACACGTGTAAAGATTTCACTATGTATCTCTGAAAGATAAGGAATTTAAAAAAATTGTTTCTAATCCTCACCCAAGGATATATTTTTAAAATTTTTTTATTAATTTTTAGAGAGAAAGAGAAACATCAATGTGAGAAACACCCATGTGAGATAGAAACATTGATGCGAGAGAGAAACATTGATCGGCCACCTCCCACATGCATCCTGACTGGGGATTGAGCCTACAACCCGGGCATGTGCACTGGCGGGAATTGAACCAGTGACCTTTCAGTGCATGGGATGATACTCAACCAACTGAGCCACACTGGGCAGGGCAGGGATTTTAAATGTTTAATAACTTCTTATTTTGAAGTAACTTGACTCACAAAAACTTGCAAAAATTGTAGAGTTCCTGTGTACCCTTTACCCAACTTGCCCCAATGATAGTATCTAAAAGAATATGATTTTAAACACTACGACTATTATCTTTAATGTCATCAAATATTTCCATATTCTCTTGTGGTTGCAACCTGGTGCACTTTCTTACATCATATCATTCCGTCACTTATGAGCTGGACTCTTTCTATGCAAAGACACTTCCCCTCATCTCTTTGGTCCCCCTCTGGTGTAGGTTAGCCAAGGGGGGGGAAATGCTTGTTTCCTACCCGTTTTCTGTGTTCAGAACGACTTGGTTCACTAGCATCTTTTATCGGTGACATCAAGAAGTGGTTTTGTGTGTGTTTTTCAGTGTCAGTATGAACTTGTGTATTTAAACATGGGATGTGTTTCAGTTCGTTCTGTTTACTGTCCTTCTGGCAGCTCAGGCTGTCCCTTTGTGGGCTAGTGGGAGCCACGCCTGATTGCCCCCGAGGCCTTTTAGCAATCCTACTCAGCTTTAGTTTCCTTGGTGTTGGGTGTTACAAGGTGTTATAGGCTTATCTTGTACATTTCCTGCCCAGCTACTTTGCCAAGGAGCCTGTGGGAGCAAAAAACAAAGACTCAGATGCCCTGGTTCCACCCCAAACCAGCTTAATCAGAATCTGGGGGGGGGCGGGGGGCAGGTATGGTGTTTTCTAAAAGTGCACCGAGCCCCGATGGAAAACTTCTGGGTCCAGGGGTCTCTCAATGCCTCATCTTTGAAAAATGCTGGAACCTTGAGTACCATCCTCAGCCGAAGAGCTCATCGCTGCACGGGTACCCCCTTCACTAAAGCTGGTAGTTCAGAATTTAGACCTGAACGTTTCAGCAGTGGAAGCCGGCCCGTGTCCGTAATCCCAGAGGCTCCATGCTGCTGTCCCTTCCCTTGTCTGCATGTTGTTGAACTGGAGCTCATCTCTGTGCCTTTGGGATAGAGGTTCTTTTGAGAGCCTGCTGAGAATCTGTCCATGTTCCCATAGCCTTTCGGATGAAGACCCAAATTCCGTACGTGGCCTCCAGCAAAGACTGCCCACACCCTGTCTTAGTCCCTGGAGGGGTTATGCTGTCATATACCACCAGGCCTTTGTACATACTATTCTCACTGCGGAACCGCCTTGCTGCTCCCCTTTACTTCATTGTCCTGCACTCGATCTTCAGACCTCACCTTGTACATCTTCCTCAGGAGCCCTTTCCCTGACCTCCTTACGGGGTCAGGCCCCCGCCCCTGTCGGCTCTCTTAGTTATTGTGAGCCCAGGACGATAGCAGTGATCCCACTGACATACCTTTAAGCTGTGATCCCCATCGCAGTTGCAGTTTTGTATTTGTTCACGGGATCATTTATTAATGTCTCTCTCTCTAGGGCCTGACTGGAGCTCACATCCTGTGTCTGCCACTTCTCACTGGGGACCCTGGGCCAGTCATTTCACCCCTGGGCTCCTCAGTTTCTTCTATTATAAAATGAGGTTGATGCTTTTACCTACTTCATTAGGAGGTTATGACGTTTGATTGAGATAATTTGTGTAAAGAGCTCAGAATAGAGCTATAGCTATTAGAGAATGCTAGCCAGTGATGTTGTTGTTATTCTCATTACTACTACCACCGTGGTGTTTCAGGGGGCTTATGTCTGTTTGTTGAGATTTGTGTACTTGGTGCTAGGCACACAGTAGATGCTCAGAAAATACTTGTTGAATGAATGAACGAATGAAAGAACGCATGGAGTGAAGTGGGGACAGCAGTAGCACCACGCGCATTGGGTTGCTGTGGGGATACAAGATAAGGCACTGTCCCATCTTTGCACTTAGTGGGACACTCAGAAATATTTGCTGGGTGAAACTGGGAGAGCTGCCATGGGTTTATTTAAGGCTCAGGAGGGGCATAGTTTCAGGGTGCAAATTAGTGGCGTGAGAGTGACTGCTGGTCCTTTGGGAGGAAGAGTGAGCTTCCAAGTGTTACCATACATGAGACATGGAATCATTCGTCCTCCCCACCCTGTGTTTCTCTCCTCTAGAATCCTTGCCCGGAATCTGGCGCATCCTTCCTTTCCAGGATCACCTTCTGGTGGATCACGGGGTAAGGCCTGGCCCTCCTGCCCAGGGTGGGGGTAAGAGAGGAGTTGGCAGAGGGCGGGGAGTGTATGGCATAGCTGGGCCCTGCGTGTGTCTGCCCCGGACATGGGTCTCAGAGACACTGACCTTGTTCCCACAGTCACTTGAACCCTTGTGGACGGCTTGGCCTGGGGCAGTTAGAAGCTGCATGCTCTTGTCTTAGCTTTGGGTTTGGGTATTTTTAACGTTAGGAATAATTACTATTATTGCCATTGTTTCAAACCCTTCACCATCAGGAACATAATATACATGCAACATAGGAAATGTGGGTAAAAGAAACATGCATAGATCAACAACAGAAAGCACCAGAAGGCAACCACAGTCAACAGTCTGATAAGCTCTCTTCTGCTTTCTTTGGTGTGTGTGTTTGGGTTTTTTTTTTTTCACATTCCTCCCCCTCCCCCACATTGTCAGCATCTTCCCGGGAATTTTTTGAACCTTTTTTCCCCCCTGATCAGCATTGTTCCTTGTCTTTATAAAGGTTTTACAAAAATTTTTTTTAAAAATTAAATATTTTTCAGACCTAATTATTTTTCAAATTATTGTTAAAGAACACCATTGGGACAGTTAGTATAATTTAAAATTTTTAATATGTTTTTATTGATTTTTAGAGAGAGAGAAGGGGGGGGAGAGAGAGAAACATCACCAATCAGCTCCTCCTACTGGGGATTGAGTCCGCAACCAGGCATGTGCCCTGACTGGGAATCGAACCGCTGACCTCTTGGTTCCTAGGTCGATGCTCAACCACTGAACCACACTAGCCGGGCAAGGGACAGTTCGTAAAATTTAAATATGGACTGTGGGCTATGCCATCCATGCTGGTATTTCCGAGTGTGATGATTGTTCTCTGGTTATATAAGAACATGTCCTTTTTGTTAGGGAATGGATGATATTTAGGGGTAAAATGTTTAGAGTCTGCAACCTGCTTTGAGACGGTTCAGAAAAGAACGTGTTCGCACAGTGTGTTTATAGAGACAGAAATGATATAGCAAACTGGGGAATGAGGTGAAGGGCAGATAGGAATTCTTTGTACAATTCATGTGATTTTTCTGAAAGTTTGAAATTCTTTCAAAATAGCAAGTTAAAACTATTACATTTACTTTTTATTATGAAAGTGTTCACACATGTAAAAAGACTTGTTCAATAAACCTCACTAAACTCACCACCCAGATTTAACAGTTCTCAATGCTTTGCCATCTTAGCCTTAACATTTTTTTAAGTACATTGGAGCCATCCTGGTATTTCCCTCCTAAATATTCTGTATGTATCTCTAAACAGTGAGGCCATTTTTCCTGGGTGACCTGACAGAATTTAGCAATAATTATTCAATGTACCCACATGGCCGTCCACATTCAGATTGTCCCAGTCGCTCAGCTGCCTTTGGTGCGGGGCCTGCCGTGAGGTGGCGGTGGCGGGCGTGTGCAGTGAAGGCCATTCTCCTCCACTTCTCCTCGACTCTCATCGCCTCCTCCTTGTGTTCCTGCCCAGGTTGATAGTCCGGGGCTACCGACAGCCCCTGGAGAGCGCTGACCTCTGGTCCCTGAATAAGGAGGACACGTCGGAACAAGTTGTGCCCGTTTTGGTCAAGAACTGGAAGAAGGAATGTGCCAAATCCAGAAAGTAAGTGCGAGTCCTCTTGCCACCGGAGCAGCCAGACCCACTCTGGGGCCAGCGCTCACCCCTTCCTCCACCGGGAGGAGATGAAGCAGGAGAAGTGTTTGCAGGGTCTCCGGGCCATGGGAGGGAGTTAGGGTCTGGCCCCACGAGAGAAGGAAGAGGTGGGTTTCAGATAGGGCAGTGGCATGCGGTGAGTTCTGCTCTATAACCACCCTGGGGCTGCCCTGGGGAAGGGGGATCACACAGAGACCCTGGGGCCTCAGAGTTGCCTGAGTCCCTTTTTTGTGCTGGAGCCTTTGTTTCCTAGGCAGAGGGCTTTCTGAGGATTCAGCGAAATAAACATCACCCGATAAGTTGTCTGTCATTGGATAAGCCCTGTGAAGACCATGGCAGGTACTATTGTGAGGCCGTGTTCATTCATCTTGCTCGCCAGGCTGGGCGCTTGCATCCTCCCTGGGAGAACATGCTGAGAACTGGCTCATTGGGCTCGAATGTGGGCCACCCACAGGGTGCTGGCTACATAAGGACCTTGGCCTTTAGGGGGTCTCAGCTTAGGAGTTCGCTGCCTCGCTCGGGACACTGGCATGTAGGTCACTTGCTCTGTTCCCAAAGGCCAGATCTAGCCCTTGTAACCCCTGTGGATGGATGGACAGATGGACGGACATGGTGGGGGTGAGAGGAGAGTCCTGTTCTAGGAATGTCGGAGTGTGGCCTCTTGCAGTGAGGCCTCTTTAGTTAACTGGAGACCAGTGTAGCCTGTGCCAGCTCGGCTGCTGGGTGTCTAGGGCCTTTTGGGGAGCAGCAGTGGCAGCCAGGCAGGGGGTCTGGCTTGGCTTCGTGGCCTCTGGTCTCAACATCCCAGCCCGTCTCGCTCCTCTCTTTAGCCTTGGGTGACTCCTCTCAAAAGTCAGGTCTGAGCTGCTCCCTCCCCTCTCCCCACCCCATCCCCACCTTTTAAAATGCAGTGCTTCATTGGTTACTGTCAAATGGTTTTGAGTTTAACAAAACGGAGTGGAAATTTCTCTTGGCCTCCTGGCCTCCTGTAGGTGAAGGCCATGGTGGACTGTGGTTCCTGCTGGCATGACTATAAAAACTTCAGTGACTCTAGAAAAGAGTTTGGCTGGGTTTTTTTTTGTTTTTTTTTAAATATATTGTTATTGATTTCTCACAGAGGGAAAGGGAGAGAGACAGAGAGTCAGAAACATCGATGAGAGAGAAACATCGACCAGCTGCCTCCCGCACATCTCCCACTGGGGATGCGCCCGCAACCCAGGCACATGCCCTTCACCGGAATCGAACCTGAGACCCTTCAGTCCGCAGGCCGACGCTCTATCCACTGAGCCAAACCGGTTTTGGCGAGTTTGGCTGTTTTTAAAAAAGTTAACAATTATTGTACCACCAGCCGCTCTCCTTTTAGGTGTATAACCCAAGATAACTGGAGTCGTGTTCATAAAAGACTTGTAGAGCAGCTTTGTGTGCGAGGGCCAAAGCTGGAAGCCACCCAAACATCCACTGACAAGGGAACAGACATACAAAACATGGTGTAGCCATAAAAGAATGCATCTGAACAATACAAAGGGATTATCTCTTGATACACTTGACAACGCGGAAATATCTCAAAATAATT